GGAAACTCAGGCCTCTCTCAGGCCTAAACTCAGGCCTCTCTCTGCTTCCAAAGCCCACCCGTGTTCTTCCCAGGACACCCAGAGATGCCACGGAGTAGACCACAACTTCTGGACACTTTCTATTTAAGCAACAAAAGTCCCTTGGGTCTCTGCACTGTGTGAAGCATTGTGCTGAGTAATGGAGAGCCACAGGGGGCTCTGACATGGGTGCTTTTCTTAAGAAGCTCACAGACCAACAGGAACTTTAGGTGGATGTGTAGATAATTCTACTACAAAGGTCCAAGGAGCGTGGTGCTTTAAATGGTACCACAGTGAGGCTGGAGAAACCTCCTCTTTGCCTGGGGATGTCCAGGCTGCACTGGAAGGAGAATTTTGCTTATATTTAAGGAGTAACCTGCATTTGCATCATCTGACTTCCCTCCCATTCCAGTAGCTAGTTTGGGACGCCCCCACTTTACCCCCCAAAGTGCTGAGATACCTGGTCCTCCAGCCCTGTTTAGAGATTGGAACGTTAGCACAGGGCCAGGGCATTCATGGGGAAGAATGCAGAGGTCAGGGGAGTGCAGGTCCAGTGCATCTGCCATCTCGCCTGTCTCTGGCTGCCCCGGGCACAGCGCTGCTGTGTCTAAGCAGTAATGTTTCTGCTTTTTTTCCTCTTGCTGGAAATGCACTCTGACATTTTTTAACAAATAACACAATTTTCCTTTTGTGTTTCCCTTAATAAAACCCAGAAATGAGAGCAAGAAAAGGAAAGTAAAAAAACATGTTCCTGTCATGTGCACTCTGTAGCAGGATGTTCGACTCCCCTCCCTGTCTTCCTTCCTCCCACCAAACATGGCTCTCCAACTCCTCCATCTTCATTCCTCTCTCCAGGCCTTGGCCACGTCTGCTATGTTTGCTTCTCTGATTTCTGCCACAGAAGGGCTAACTCTTCGGCTGGTCTGTAGGGCTCACCCCTGTCTACAAGTGCTGTGTGGGTGAGGACAGATGATGTAGAACTGGAAGGGGTTCAGAGAGGCGTTGGCATCAAAGACCCTAGCTCACCAGGGCTAGAGTCTTCTTGTCTTCCTCCAATGAAGCAGCTCCAGATCACCTGGCGAGGGCCCTGTGTTTCCGCCTTAAAGCAAAGCACTGGGCTAAGACGTGGTCCCCAGCTCTCTTGGGATCTGCTTGAGGGTGCAAGGTTCTTGATGTGTAAAATGCTGCCTACTTCTTAGCCAGGATAACTGTATGCTTCCACATTAGGTCCAGACACCAGCTGTATAAATGCAATGCGACAGAGATGCAACGCACACCAGGCCTGCAGAAAAGCACTGGGGAGGGTTTCATAATGTATCCCATGTGGGTCAACAGCAGCCATTCAGAATGCTGGCACGCAACAAGCCAGCATCCATGGGCGTTTCATCCCCCGCCCCACCCTGATCTGAGGCCCCGTGTGCACTACCGCTGACCTATGAGAGCCACAGACACAAGGGGTGACAGTCAGGGCAAAGCAGGTCAGATAGCAAAGGCAGCTCTGGAGGCAGGAGCTGACTTTCTGAAAGGCTGGCCTGAGGGCTCTGTGGACTAGAGAATGGCAGTTCCAGGGAAGTGGATTTGACTCATTAGGAACCAGATTGGACCCCGTGAGCTTGACGATCACTCCCTGCTCTGAAACTGTAATTTCTGGAGTTATTTCTGTAGTTGTTTTACCTCTCTTACACAAATGCTCAGAAGAAAGTATTTCTAAGAGGGAGAAGATGATATTCTGATGATGTGGCATGGATTTCTTCAGAAAGGGCTCCTGGTCAGAGGCTGTGTGGCATCTTCTTTCATTAAATAGGTAAAGCAAGCCAGGCATGGTGGCACACATACCTGTAATCCCAGCACTGTGACAGGCTGAGGCAGGAGGATCTCAAGTTAGAACCTAGTGGGGGCAATTAGCAAGACTGTGTCAAAAGAAAACATTTTCCAGGTGTGGTTGTACAGACCTGTAATCCCAGCATTGGGAAGCTGAGGCAGGAGGATTGCAAATTCAAACCCAGCCCTGGGAAACTTAGCAACCCTGTTTCAAAATTTAAAAGTTTTTTCTTAAAGGCCTGAGCGATTATAGCTCAGTGTGAAGATCTTGGATTCAATCCGCAGTGGTGCACTGAAGAAAAAAAAGAGGTAAAATAACTACATGTGAGTTCAAAATGGAAAGGCAAGAGGAATGTGCCAAATGATCCACTTGTCCATCTACCAATCCACACCACGTCAGTGAGGTGGCTGAGGCCAAAGTGAATTCCTACTGGGTAGGAGCAGAGTTCATGATTCTTGGCGCACTGGGACAAGTGAAACAACTCATGAGAGAGGAAGTGCTGAATAAAGGAGTTGGCTCTTCCCGGATTGAGACAGGCCAACTAGGCCTACATGGCATTGCACCGTACACGCTAGGGTTTCTTGGTGCTACTCCACTCTGCGGGCCAAAGCCGGGCTCACATCACAGAGCTCAGGCTGGGAGGCCCTTACAGGCCTCGTCAGATGTCCTTTCATTCCAGAGAGGCCAGGTTAATGTCTGAGAGGTGACATGGTGGCCAGGCCTCAGTGGCAGAGCTGGGAAGGGAACTGAGGCCCTTTGGTTCCAGTTTAGAGAGCAGTCCGCTCCTCCTTTGGCCAGCAAGTGCTACTTCCTAATCGTGTCTGTGAGCCTGGCTCTGCTCTAAGGACAGTAGGGCTCAACCCTGATGAGGCACAGTCCCCAGCCCGAAGTGCCCAAGCCAGGTGGGGGAAGACTTCCCACCACAGACTTGTACAGCCTACACTCACTGGGCTGCCAGAACCATTGGAAAGATGTGGGTCTTACAGCAAAGGAAAATCCATTCACTTTCAGGATATTTGCAAAAAAGAACTTCCTCATCACTCATTAAACACATTTCACAAATTCAAGACCTTTATCGAAATCAAAACTCTTGTTGGGCATTTAAAAAATATTCCTTATGTATTTGCTGTGCTTTTCTTCTGTTTTATATATAACCTGAAGAATACTTATAATTTCTATCTAGTTTTTCACACCCTTTTCTCTCGGAGGGGGGCAGAAAGGACAAAGGTCAGGCGGTAGGAGACCTGCCATTAGCCATCTGGGCAACATCAGAGCAATCTTCAGTGTACTAAGCCCCAAAGATTCATCTAAAACAATGGATAAAACTATTTGTTCTGCCTACCTCACAGGTTTGTTGTAAAGATCAAGCCAAATCATGTCTATGGAAGAACCTTGAAGAGTATGAAAGCAGCATTCAAATATAAAGTATTAAACTCTTTGCCCTTTTCCCTTGTTTCTCTGAAGTCATATTCGGTGTTTGGTTTGTGCTGTTGGTGGGAAGAACTTATAATGGCAAATGGGGGAGGGAGGTGTCGCTGCTCCTAAGCCCTTGGGGGCAACTGGCTGCCAGTACTTTTTCTTTAGAGCTGGGAAGTGGCCCTGCCCTTGAAGAAGGTCATAGAAAGCCCCTGCTCTGTGTCCTTCTCGCCTCTGCTTGGGTTCACCTGGCCAAAGTACCTGGCAATTCCAACTCAATTCAGTCAGGACCTGGGGGCATCTCAGAGAATTCCATGGTATGGGACCTTCCCAGGGTACTCCGGTGATGGGGCATGGATTTCACAGATTCTGCACGTGCTTTCTTTCCCTCATCTGTAATACTGCAATACCGCAGTAGTCTCCATTTCCAAGGGTCATTGTCAAGATTAAATGGGTTGATTATGCCACCAAGCCTGATACAAAATGAATGTTAGGTAACTGTTAGCCAATGCTGTGGTTTGTTTATTGAGTCAATTGGGGCCAGGTACTTTGGGGATATAGAGAGGATAGCAAGACCCCGTTCCTGTCCCTGGAGGACTGAAGAGTGGGCCTCTTATGCTAGAGTTAGGAGGTGTGGGGAACCGACCTCCCCCCATCTGTTCCCTAAGAATGGCCTCTTGGCTGACTTCCTGCCATCCCAAGTCTGCTCTCTGGGGTCAGAATACACCCCAATCTCTCCCAGGGGCAGGATTCAGCGTTTGGCCGAGGGTCCTGCGCTATCTGCACACAGTGAATGCGTTTCCAGCCCAACGGAAGTTGGAAACTTGCAGGCGCCCCTGGGGGATGAAGGAAGGCCTGAGGAGCCTGGAGTCCCAGGCGGCAGAAGGCGCTGGGCGCTTCCCGCGCGGGCAGGACCGAGGGCTGCCTGAGGTTATCCCTCACACAACCGGCCGTGGAGCCACAGGTAACCAGCCCGCCCGCCCGGAGCTGCCAGTTGGCTCAAGAGCGACGCGAAGGCCCGGCTGCGGCCCCTCAAGGTAACAGTTCCACGTGGAGGCCAGGAAACTTTGCGCGCCCCGGAGGAGGTCCCCGCAGCAGAGGGGCGCACCCGTCTGTGGCCGCGAGGGGGGCCGCGCAGCCGAGCCGGGGAACTCAGCCCCACGGCCCCGCCACGGGACGAGCTCCCAGCCCCCCGCCCTGCGTACCCCACCCCTTCCCTCCACCGCGCGCAGCGCCACGGCCGCTGTCAGAAGCCGCGGGATCCGCCCCAGAGAAGCAGGGCCGACTTGCACCCAGGACCCGGGCCTCCGCCTTCCTTCCTAGCCTCGGAGAAGCATCCGGCCCTCCCCTCCCCTCCCCGTGAAGGACGACGCGGGCTGGCAGGACGTCCCGAGAAGGCCGGCCGCTCGTGGCCACGTCCCGGCCCGGCCCGGGAGCGCGGAGGAGCGGAGCCAGCGGCGGGCGTTCGCTCCCGCTCTCTCCCGGGCGCGCCGTGGAGGGGGGCGGCTGCTCGGGCCGCAGTCTCGGGGCATCGGCCGAAGCTTCCCGCGGCGCCCCGCAACTTCACCGTGCTCCAGACCCTGGGAGTGAGCTCGCCCACCAGGTAAGGAAGGCTTCGGGCTCCTCGGCTCCGGCTCGGCTCGGGCGGGCGCGTTTCCGAAAGTTGATTTGAAATGCATCCAAGAGTGAGTCGGGCCAGCCGCGGCTCCTCCCCGAGGCGACTCCTTTGCTCCTGCAGACATTCCCGGGCCTGGCCGACCGGCAGGAGGACCTCCCCTCGCGCCCCGCACGCCCACTCCCGGGCGCCCCCCTGCAGAGCGCAGCGCCCGGAGTACGGAAGCAGGCGGGACCTCTCCGAATTCCTCCCTCTGCCAAGCTCCGACCCCGGGCAGGTGAGGGGGCCGAAAGCGGGCGCCGGGGCGCGGGCTGTAGCGGTGGTCGTTCCGCGCGTCTGGGCCCGGTCGCGCGACGGAGAGCGCCTCTTCCTTTATCTCCATCCTTCTCCGGTAGCTGGATCCCTGCAGAGGCGTCCCTAGGGCCACGTTAGTATAGGCTGGGGCGGAGTCCGTCTCAGGAAGGGAGACCTGGAGACGAGGGTGGGGGTGGAGGGGCAGGAGAAGAAGAAACGCAGTCGGGGGGCGGAGGCCTAAGTACAAAACGTGCGCGTTGACTTCGAGTGAAATCAGATCAGTCGGAGCAGTTCGCTGTGACTGTCGCTCTCCTCCCACCTCGCGTTTCTCGTGGCTGGATTCTACCCTCCTGGCTCATTCTGGTCGCCCTGGACACTCCCCCCGTCCTTTCTCAGGAGCGCGCAGCTTTGGCCGGTGACTCCCAGCGGGCAGCGACATCAGACGCATCTTGTCCTCTCTTCTACAGGTCCTCCTGGCCGGGCCCGAACATGCTGGACGGCCTGAAGATGGAGGAGAACTTCCAAAGCGCGATTGAGACCTCGGCCTCCTTCTCCTCGCTGCTCGGTGAGTGAAGGGGCCGTCGCCACCGGCACACTCCCCTGTCGCCAGGCCCAGATCTCTGGATCCCAACTGCTTGGGCGGCGATGAGGGTAGTAGAGCCCACTCCCTGTCTGTCCGCGTCGGCGTCTGTCAGTCCTTTTGCGCTGTCCCTACGCAATAAAACCAACAAGTCTCCGTGGGCCTCACGCGCGGGGCATCGAATTCCCTAAAGCCACGAGGGGCGGGAGAGTTTGTTCGCAGGCGTTTGAGTGGCAAGTGATTAAAATTACCCAGGGCTGGATTTTTTAATCACGGAGCTGATCGACGGCTGATAAACGCCACTGGTTTCTCGGAGGGCTGGGGGCGAGCACAGGAGGGCTGAGGCCAGGAGCACCCAAGCTCGAGGCGACTTCTCGCCCCGCCAACAACTCCAGCCTCAATTCAGCCTTGGGCATGGCCGAGAGGCTTTTCCGGGCCGGTGGGCAGCGCGGCGCAGGGATTAGCCCGCGCGGCGGGGCCCTCGCCTCGCTTTAATTAACTGAAGTTGGATCCCAGGTCCGGCGGTTCCCCTGCCCACCCCAGCCCCTTGGCAGCCGCCGCGGAGCCCTAGCGAGTCCAAGGAGGCCGGAGAGACAGGAGCGCGTCCTCCGGAGCGTAGGCCAGGGATTCTTGCGGTCAATCTCGCTCATGCCACCCTTGGCGCTTTTCAAGTTTGGAGAAAAGACTTTTCGTTTGTTTATCAATTTTTTTTTTAATCTAGAAGGATTTTTCCTTTTGTCCTTTAAACGTCTTTTTCTCACTGGGAACCACTAAAGCGAGATGCAGGAGGACAACGAGGAGACATTTCAGCTGAGAAGCCATATCCAGAAAGGAATTCCACCCCCGCCCCCTCAACACTGCAATTGAACCTAAATCACGCACAGTGCGCCCCCTCCTCTTTGAGCCGGCCTTTTGGGCAAGTGGGCATTTTGGCCGACATCCAAGGAGGGCACTGGCCCCTCAGGGCGCGGGCGGACTTCAGAACCCAGCGCGTCGCGTTTCGCTGGATGCCCTCCACCCGGCCCACTTCCGCTGCCAGTGCTGGGGTCGTGACCCAGAGCTACTGAGACCGGGCAGAAAGAAAATAGATATTTTAAATTGACAATCGTCTCTCGTCTTCTCCCCTAGAACTTCTTTCCCCCTCCCCAAAGCCTGGTGGCCCAATCCCCAAAGGGAAAAACGGGCTGAGCCTAGCGGGGAAAATGCAGGAGGATCCACCCTTGGGACCCTAAGAGCTAGAGAGGGTCGCTGTGGCAGGACAGAGCTTCAAGTATTTGTAAAATGTGCCAACGAGGGGGCCCAGGCATCGTGGGGGGGCGGCGGAGGGGTAGTTCGGAGCGGATTCCTGAACGCGCTGGGTGGGGTCCTACCGGCAGCGACCCTCCTTAGCTTCTCCGCGAGCTCCCCCCTCCGCATTTTCCCCTGTTGTCTATTTTGACACTTCTTAATTATGAAAAACCCGTGTACAATTTGCCTGCCAGCCAAGACTCAGCAGTTTGGGGTTCATTGGTTTGAACAATACTGGGCTTTCCTGGGGCGAGACGGTTTTGTTTTTTTTTTCTGTACCCACGGGACTTTTTAGAAAGAAATGCGAATTTTGCTTTCCTTAAAAAAAAAAAGAATACAATGACATGTTAACAAAAGAAAAAGCAGACAAATTGTTTTTACCTACTCTGCTCTAAAATAGTTAATAGATTAAAAACAGTGAATGATTTAATAATTGTGATGTAAATCTGGGCCCACAAATTTATTTGTGATCTGATTTCGCAGGTTGCGCGCACTCTTGCGCGCGTGTAAGTGGGTGTGCTTGAAAATTAAAGCCCACTCATCGATTTACACCCACCCCCGCTAGAATTTAAATCTTCCCACATGTTCCCCGTGTATTAGAAAGGCCACTTAGTTTGACTGTTTCCTCGCCTCGGCCCGGCTGGTGATGGGGCTTTCTGGGGTGGACAGTAAGGGTGTGGAGGGATCGGGGCGATGCGGCAGGGTTTGGCCGGTTAATCGGCCGGCGGCTCACCCGCAAACGTCTGTTGCGGCTGCAGGCAGAGCGGTGAGTCCGAAGTCTGTCTGCGAGGGCTGTCAGCGGGTCATCTCGGACAGGTTTCTGCTGCGGCTCAACGACAGCTTCTGGCACGAGCAGTGCGTGCAGTGCGCCTCCTGCAAAGAACCCCTGGAGACCACCTGCTTCTACCGGGACAAGAAACTCTACTGCAAGTACGACTACGAGAAGTAAGTGCCGCGCCACCCGGGCGATCTCTTCTCTATCCTCTTCCGCAAGGTGGAGGAGGCACGCAGTCGCACGCCCGGGCACGTAGGTCTCCCCTTCACCAGTGTCCCCTTCACCGCGCTCCCCGGGGGCGCAGGGATGGCGCCAGCGCGCGCAGCCATAGACCACGCTCCGCAGAAGCGCCAGCCATTGCTGGGTTCTGCGTCTGCTCGCCTAGGTTTTAGTCTCCTGGACTCACTGTTCCCAGGGGCCGCTGGTTGCGGACCCCTTTAAGCCACACCCCGCTTTTCTTTTCACTGGGTAGCCCCTCGCGCTGCCAGTGACTGGAGTCTTCTTGCGGGTCAGCTCCATCTTTCCCAGGTGTCCGTAGCACTGAGGCCCTTGTGCCGGCGCTGAGGTTGAAGCGCCTCCACGATTTCCACGGTTTCTTCACCCTGTGCGCGTTGTTTCCCGCTTACATTCGTTCTTCCTATGTCCCTCCAAAGACCTCGGGAGAAAGAGCTGTTAGGTCAGAAGTGGGAGCCTGACCCGAAGCCCCCTCCTCCATGATATGTCTCCATCCAATCTGAGGGTGCTTTCTACCACGCAGCGAGTCCAGTTCCCTCCTGTCCACAGGATCGTCCTGGCGTGTTTTGAGGAGAATTGCGAGGCAGGTATTTAAGAAAGAGGGTTACAAGAGAGCTAGAGCTCTGTAATGCCTAAGGGAATGGGAGTTAGAGGAATTTCCTTATTCTCTCTGGGCTGGTGTGGAGGAGCTCATCGGAGGAAAAAGAGGGAACTACTTGTCCTTGCAAAAACTGATCATATATAGGGACATCAGCTTTGCAGGCCTGTGGAGGATTTGGAGGAAAGAAAAGTGGCTGAAACGGAGGTCTCTGGGTTAGTACATTAGCACAGGAATCTGTAGACTGGAGGAGAATTCAGCATTTGTCACTAGTGAGTGAAAGGGGCAGCACTTTATGAGAATAATGAAAGGAGGGTTAGTATGTATGGGAAATAGTTCCTGTAATGTTATTAGGAACACGCAATGAAAGGGGTTGTACTGGAGGGGGCTCTACAGCAAAAGGCATTGGGAAAGATCCGAGATCTCTTCGTTCCCTTCTCCCTTGGGCTGTGAGGCTTACTAAAAACTGACAAAGTGATTAGACCCAGTAACCGCACCAAAAATGCTGTCACTCAGTCCTCCTTTGCTATAAAATTGGAGCATTTTATCCTCATGTGGAGAGAATCATGGGCATTTTGTTGTTGCTGTTTTGGAAAGATAATACCTTTACATTTTAAGAATATGTATATACACTCAAATTTGGATGAGTTGGACAATGCTGAAATATATACGGAAGTGAAAACTCCTCATGACCACAAAGTGATCATGATGGTCAACGTTTTTGAAAGAAGGGATGCCTGTCTCTGTTCTTGGTTGTTTAAGGCCTCCGTGTCTGAGTGAAAAGTGTGATTTTTGGGTAATTAAGCAGATGTTGCCCACACAACTTCAAGTATCGCCTTGGGATAAAGGTCGATTGCTCGCTTTTTTCTCTTTTGCTTTTCATCTCAAGGCGTCAGTGTTGTATGGACCCACTCTTTATCTTTCTGCTTATAGATTACTGAAATGCTCACACCCTTCAAGCCTAACACTAGCCAATTCAAAAGTACTGGAGCTTAGGAAAGGATTTGGGTTGTGAATTTCTATTCTGTTTGTTAAAAAAAAATCATGAATCAGAGAAGGCTTAAGGGTCAACACAGCTGTCTGGCCAGTCAAATCTTCTTTAAGGAAGTCAGGCTGTGTCAAGAGGAGAAGAAACAGTTGTCGTAAAGTACTTAACACAACAATGTCCCTCCCTTCGCAGTCCTCTAGGTTTGGAGCGGTCTGGGCTTATTAGCCTAGGAGGGTCGGTTCGCCCCTCACAAGGCTATTTCTGCAAAGAGAAAATTGCAGGGATCAACTTGCCAGCTGTTGGCCTGAACCAAGAAGATTTTATGGAGGGGTGTGAGCTCCGTCGTTCAGAGAGGTGTTGGTGATACAATGAAGGGTTTTAATTTTAATTTAAAAATGTTTACTGAAACGTGGATGTCCAAAATTGACCTACGCATGCTCGCTCTCTAACTCACAGCACACTGTCATTAGTAGTCTGTGCTCAGCCCATCAATGGCTTTTCATTTCAATTATTCCTTTCTTAAATTTCCTTTTTTCCCCCTACACAACCCCTTATCCCAATCACATTCTTCTTACAACAAAATAGGATTTTAATATACTTGATAGTCTTAATAGTATTAGTCTGCCTGGTTATTGGGTATAGGAGAGAATGAAGAGGTGATTTTTTAAAAAATTAGGCTCAGGACAAATTCTTTTATTCAAAAGCTTTTAACAAGCTTCTGTTTGTAAGGCACTGGGCTAGGTGAGGAGAGAATAGTCAGAAAAAAATCTCAGAGCTTGCCTTCATGAGGCCTGTAAGCCCGGCACTTTTTCCATGTATGTCTTGCTAACCATCAGTATTTCCTGAAAGCCTCCTCTTCTTAAAGTGCAGGAAGGAGTAGGTATTGACCAGAATCCATTGTAAATGACCAGATATTTATCTTCTAGAGGGATGTAATTCAACTTTAGACATAGTCATGAAACAATCGCAACTTTTTTTTCCTTTTTAATACATTAATAAAACAGCTTTCCCTTTTTAGATGGACCTCTTAACATGCTGAGGCTCAGACAAGGTAAATGGAAAGGAAAGTAAGATGGAAGTGATCGGACAATAATGATTATGGAATGCTTAATAAAAAAGGAATATTTGGGTAGCATCCTTGTCTCTATAAAGTTCATGAGGTCCAACTGCTATTTCTACACATTTAAATGAAAGAATGTATAACTGTGCCAACTTCAGCACCAGTCATAGACATGATATTAACAAAGTGTGTTTACCATATTCAACTTTAGTCATTTGTGTATGCATTTCTGGTTGTGGGGCAATTTTGCATTTGAATTATTAGCCATATTGCAATGGTGTCAGGCAGCCACTTAGAAAGTGAAAATTCCATGGTATCAACTAGCTGTTACACGGTCAGGATATCACACACCCAAGTTTTTCTAATTAAAAAAAAATTGAACTGACAGTGGCAGCTTGGACACATACAGCCGCTCATTTGAAACCTTAGTATGTTTCACTATGTGTTTGTCTCACACATTACAACACCCCTAGGAATATCTTATCTTCTGATCACCCAAAACAAATAAGAGTTGAAGGCCAAAGTGTAGAATACTGATTTATGAACATCCAGAAATTCAGAACTGGGGGCAACTTCTAGTGCTTGTGATGTAATCGAGGAAAAAGAACTAAGTGGAAAGATAACATTTAAAAAATGGACGGAGCTACACTCTGTGACATAACACATCCGGGCACTGTGGGGGTGACTGCTTAAAAACTGGGTGTAATTGACTCAGTGTTGCTGAAAGTTAGCAGACAATCCAAATGTGTTCGAGCCTAGAAGACTTCTATTTATATAACTGTTGTTCCCTATTTAACGGGATCCTCTCTGATCTGGTTAGTTTGGAGTTTTCCCTGAATTTGTTCCAAGCAAACGCTGTAGTTGGACCTTAGTCTGAGACAGAGGAAACTGCTGAATAATGGGAATGTTGTAATACAATAGATAATTAAGGCTTCTGGAAGGGGTCCCACATTTAAATCAAGTTTATATATTGTTCCTTTCATGTGCCTAGTGGGTTGGTGGGCCAGGCGGGGCTCACTCGCCTCACATATGAAGTTTATCATTATCCCTGGATTGTTCTAGACGTCCTAGGAGCTGTGTGGGACAGTACGGCTGTCATCGGGGTTGTTCTCACAACATCACAACTCCCCACATGTCAGCAGATCTCAGGCCTTGGGAAATCTTTCCTCACAGAGCCAGTTGATGTTTTCTTCCCTTCCTTTAGGAGGAGACCTGATTTCCAAAGACAGGGTCTGAAATAGGGGAAAGTGGAGGTTACCCTTAGATCTTTCTTTGGGTCTTTCTTTGAACCTGCTGATTGGCAGCTCTGAAGCAAAAGGGATTTAGGTAATGTGCTCTATTAGGATCAGTAATGAACCAATTCTGCATTTTATCAAGGTAGTGTAGGAGGTGTGCGTGTGTAAGGAGTCGGTTTGGTTTTATTGCTGTGATATTGCTTGGAGATCAAAATTGGGCATGCAGTTACTCATAAAAGGAGCTCACAGATGAAATTACAGAGGCGATTGTTAGAATTTTGCTTTACTTTCTCTTTTGTTGGCCCCACTCCTGGCACAATAAAATTTAAGGAATACTAAAATCCAAATAGGGCTAGGTAATAAATTGGTGTCTGCATTAAATTGCAGGGGCTTAGCTGAGAATGAGCAGTGTCCACAGGCTGTGGCTTTTTGGGCAGGCAGACTTATCTCTTTTTTCGGTTTTAATTTTAGAGGGTGATTGGAAACAGTCCCTGCTCAGAGGTGTTTTCTCTTTTTGTGTATGTTGGTCCCTGGGTAAGACTTTCTTAGAATCTAAATCTTAAAAAAAAAAATCTGAAATGAAATTAGCAGAAGAAGATATTAATAGTATTCGGGGAATTAGGATGTGAGATATGAACATTGCTTTTTAGAGAAGGCTTATGGGGTTCTTTTGATCCTTACATAAACAGAACACTTGAAAAAGTTATCTATCCAGTTTTGTATACTGTAGAGTCTTGGAACTTTTGTCGTCTACCTGGCTAGAAAATAGCTTGTGATATTTCTATTTCAATGCTGAGGACGTTTTGATAGTTCATTGTTTGTCTTTTTAGTTTCATTTTTACTTATATATTTTATGTTCATCAAAAGGCTGATTTCAGGGTGTCCTTTTTACTGTTACTTTTTAAATTCTGAGGGTTTGGGGATAATGAGCAAGTACTGCTTCTCTACTGAGAAGAACTTCATTTATTAAATCATCAGCTAAGTATTTTTATAGCCAAAGAAATTATTTGGCCTGTAGAATTTAGAAGTGAGAAAATAGACAAGACTGTAAAATA